GATCCCATTTTTAGACCATATAGGGTGACTTCTTGACGTTGCCATGGCATTTGTAAACTGTCATGGCACTGGTGGGAGTGTAGCAGGGAGAACGACCAGAGGTCACTCTTGTCATTTTGCTTTTGGTGGGTTTTGGCTGGCCTACTGCAACCTGTTTCCTCAGCAAGGTCTTTATGGACCTGTATTTTGTGCTGACCTAGCTCATCCTGTGACTCAGGATGCGTTAACTGTCGGGGAATGCAGCCCAGTAGGTTTCAGCCTCATTTTCCCCAGCTCCTATTTAAGATGGAGTTGCTCTGGTTCACACACCTCTGACACAGGTAAGAATAGAAGGGAATACAAGAGAAGAAGTCAAGTTCAAACCATTAAGAAACTTCTGGATACCTAGCTTAATAAGGCAGTATTTCTCAGCGTGGTCCTTGGAGCATCTGTATGTTAACAAATATGAGGTGTTTCTGAACATTACGGAAACCTGACCACAACGGCATCACCACATAGGGGTCCATCTTTCCAGTTTAACTGGATGTCTGGAAATAGGCGGACAGGAGTGGTGCGGCTGCTTGAGGATGTTTTTACGGACCCAGGGTTCCTGTAGCCTACTTCTCCTTTATCCTTGGCTTGTGATATTTATCCTCACGGTGGCAAAACAACACCTGTTAACACCAGGCCTCCCAACTGTTTTCCAGGAGCTTTCTCCTAATGAGGCTTTGCCTTTTCAGTTAGGAAGGGACCTGACCCTAGGCCAGAACTGTCACATGGCCACACTTATTTCAAAATTCACCTTGAGATGAACCGGCACCTCACCTTCTTACCCTTATGAAATCTTGGTCTTCTTAGTAAGGCTTAAAAGGGAAATGGATATCGGTTGAACAACAGCAGTGTTTGTTGTATTCTGTGTCACAGTCACCTGGGTTGTCAAAAGTGAATTCGTGAGCTGGGTGTGGTGGTATGTGCCTGTAATTCCAGTTACTCAGGAGGCTGAGGCAGAAGAATCTCTTAAGTTCAGGAGTTGGAGACTAGCCTGGGCAACATAGTGAGACCCTGTGTCTAAAATATTGTTTTACAGTTAAAGAAAATGGATTTATAGCCACCTACGGAATCAATCCCTGGGGGTAGGCCTCTGGGCTCTGCATTTTAGTGTGCTCCTCAGGTGGTTTACTGCAGATTGAAGCCTGAGTTCCACAAGTATAGGTGATACAGAAGTAGAAGAAAACATATGTCTGTTTGTTTAGGAGGCAGTACATCACCATATATTTGAGACAACTAGAGGATAATACTTCATCGCAAGCATATGTTAGGATACTGAGGGGCTGCAAGTACCAGAAAACCCAACTCAGACTTAAATACTAAAGAAATTTTTAATTTTATGCAATGCAAGTTAAGAGGTAGGACATGTTTGTGGTTGGTAGACTCAGTGAAGGTCATCAAATATGAGTTTTTCTTTCTCTCCACTCTGCTGTTCACCTTTTCAGCCTCATTCTACGGCTGATTCACTACCCCTAGGTGGTAAGACAGCTACCAGCCGCAATTAGTGCTTCATGTTTTCTTGCGTATATCCAGTGGGAGACAAACAAGTGCTTACAATTGTTCTCCAGAGTGGGAAAGAATTCTAGAAACCTCCAACAATCCTCTTATTTGTGTCTCATCAGCAAGAAGCGAATTACATGGCCATTTCTGAATGACAAGAGGGTAGCAATGGCCTTTTAACCAGTTAAATGCTATGCCCATTCAGCTAGAATCAATGTTGTCAGCATTTCCTCCATTTGCATTGTTTCAAAGAGGAAGGGTCAAATGGATGTGAGGGAGTAAATCCCTAAGCCAGTTCACTGCACCCAGTAATTGGCATCCTGACTTGGCCATTTAGGTACAGCCATTCTGGCTTCTAATCCCTTTGCTGAGCTTCTCACTGCAGATCCCTATCTTTTGGTTGGAGGTTGGGGGTAAGATCAGACTTTTGATGAGACGACAACAAAGGAATCACAAGTCTATCACTTTGGTCACCTTAGAAGACTGTACACTTTAGAAGACTAGCCAAAGCATTTCCCAACTCTTTGGTCACATAGACTGCCTCTCAAGTTGTATTTCTTTCATAGCTGCAGTAGTCATACATTAATTCACTTCCTATAAATAAATCATTGGATGCATAATGAAAATTTTCTATGAAAACTGAGGGCAGCAATTCTCATAAGGAGACTCTACTTTCCCCGCCTAATAGTGTTACAGTCATGCATCACATAACAGTGCTTCAGACAAATGATGGACCACATATATGACAGTGGTCTCATAAGTGTTTAACGGAGCATTTATAGAAACCTAATATATTGCACTTGATGTTGGCACCGCAGATCAAGTAGGGAAATGACTGATATTCAGTAATGATGCTGGGACATTTGGTTTTTAATATGATAAAATATATAGAAAATAAAAATATATACCATCTAGGTTTGTATAAGTATACTCTATGTAATGTTCACAAAACAAAGAAATTGGCTAGTGGTGCTTTTCCTAGAACATATCCCTGTCGTTAAGCAATGCATGACTGTATTTAAAAATGTACTTAAGGAACACTTCTACCCTGGAAATGCATATTCATTAGGTAATATTTTATGTCTGGAAAAGAATACTTGCACAAGGTCTCATGGCTTCATGGCTGCTTAGTGACAGAATCAGAATTCAATTTGAGGGTACGTGACCCATTTTCTTTGAGCTCTCTTTCAGCATTTTTATACTGACATCATCTATACAGGTAGAATAGTATATATAGCCAAACACACACCAAGGCTGAATAAGAGGTAAGAGGGGTAATAGATAGGTTTGAGATTGGAGAAAACGTTGATGAGTTCCATTTAGAATTTGCAAATTAAACAGCAAATTCCATCCATCTGTAAACAAGATTCAAATCTGAGTAACTAATGTTGGAGATTTAAACTTTGAACTATCACCATAAAAAAGGTGAAGCCAGACTCTCCATGAGAGAGATAAGAACAAAAGGCGGCAAATATCAAAGTGAAGAGAAGAGAGCAGTGAGCACCCTGACAGCTAGGGAAACAACAGAAGCTGGGGATAGTCAGATTTGCTGTAAGAGGACAGAGAGCATTTAATTACTTAAGAGACTGGGCCTATGTTGCCCAGGTTAGACTTCAACTCCTGTGCTCCAGCAATCTTCCTGCTTTCAGCCTCCCAAGTAGCTGGAACTACAGGTGCATGACACCATGCTCAGGGTAAAATATATTGAATTGCAGAGGAATGAGAGCAGGAAACTAGCTAGCCCTCTTGTCTCTTTCAAACCAGCATTCCCCAGAATTGGAATTTCTACCTACATTCTCGATCTTCTTAATGTTACTCAAATTTTACATGTGGAGAAATCAAGGAAACTAAAGGCTTAATGACTTATCTAGCACATGGCATTGGGGCTCGTTTTACATTATTCTACTCAATAAAAATAGAGGTTTCGACCAGGCGCACTGGCTCATGCCTGTAATCCCAGCACTTTGGGAGGCCGAGGAGGTGGTTCCCGAGGTCAGGAGTTTGAGACCAGCCTGG